GCCATTCAAAGCTGGAGTAGGGTCTTAAACCCACTCTGTGATTATGATCGGCTGCCAGGCTCATGTTGTGTCACTTTTTCTTTTTTTTTTTTTTTCTGGGTATGATCTGGCATTTTAAGATTTTCTAACTTTGCACTTTTTCTGCACTATTTTATAATGTGAAGTACCTTTTAACTAGAAATACAGTTTATTATTATCAGTATTGCTTTTTTGCTTAACTTCACATTTTCAAAAAGACACTGAGTAGTAATTAAGCTTAAACATCTCTTTATTATCTATTTTTATTTCCCCTCTTGGCTCCTTTGACTCAATTTCAAACATTACTTTAACATCACATGATTCAAATGCAATCAGATGATGCAATCACAGGGGGATTTGTAAACGAAAATGTGGAGGAAATCTCCTGGATAAACCTGCAGGTGACGTGTCCATCTAAAGTTAGACTGTTTCTATTGTCAGTTTCTCACCTGTTTGGTCACATAGCTTCAGCAGGAGATGTATAGAGTACGCTGCCAGGCTGGACACTAGTACCAACAGAATACTGGAGAGGAAGCGGTAGATAGAGCAGAGATCAGTACACATAAGGTCGAAATTGACAATTTTTTATCGGTCAATTGGAGATGTTCCGATACCATTCTTCTCTTCTCAATACCTGGATTTCTGCTTTTCGACAGATACAGAGCATCTATCTGATACCAGAACATTTAGAAAAATACTTCACAGTACTAACTGAAAAAGAACAAGAATAGCTGTTCAAAATAAAGCCAAAGATTTTAATAATAAAGATCTTTTATGTAGAGTGGAACAAACCTAAATACCAAATATATTCCCTCATTATATGATTTACAGCATCGTTTTCATTGGACAAACCATTCAGCGAGCACTCGTTCTGTCCCACCACTTATTTATACAGGTTATTCCATTAATTTGTATCTGAGTTATTGTGTATTCATAGTTAAGGTTTGTGCCACTAAAGCAGCTCATCAGCTACGATCATAAGAGCTTTACAAACCAAAATGAACGCCCTGTTTTAAACCTATTATATAAATAAAACTCCTCAAACAGCTCTTTGGGAAAAGGTGGAATAAGAGCATTCTTACCAGAAACCAACTATGCCTGTGCTGGCCATAGCATAAGCTAGACCCAGTATACCACTGCCCATGATGGCGTTCATCAGGTTAAACACAGAAGAGACGATGGAGGCTCCTTTGGCCCTGGTCGGCACTGATCCCTGCACACATATACAAAAAAGAGAGCAATAGTTACATCAATAAATATCCAGAAGGAGAGATAGAAGATGAAGAGGTGAAGCAGTGAGTGTTAGGACAAAGGAAAAGCAGAAGAAATCTGATTATTTATGTAAGAGCTTCAGGAGCATTGCACCCGACAGCATTACGAACAACTGGCCGGTCCCGATGATGGATGTCATGAAACAACGCGGTGGTGGCATGAAGGATCAGGGACTGGAAATGGGAATGGATGGGGTGGGATTTGAGCGGCTGGCTGCGGGGACAGCTGCCTGAGCTCAGGATAAGGGGAGCTGCCCAAACTGCTTGACCTCTTTAATGGGGGATATCCTGCGGAGAACGAGCGGCAACTCTGGTGTCAGTGTCACAACAAGCTCAGATTGACCTGTGGGCCGCTGAGTCCGATTCACCCTGAGTTACAGTACCGGGAGACAGGAAGTCAACCGTGGCACGATGACACCAGGTGTGTGAATATAAAGACAAATGCTGCTAAATTAATTAAACGGATTTAAAATAAATACTACAAATGTGACTTTTAAAACAAAGATGCAGCAGTACAATAATGTAAAGAGATAAATCAATATATGCATTATAACGGATGCATTTTTCACCTTCTTATTCTTACTAAGGGCCACAGTGGGGGGAGGCATATCCCAGCATTCACCAGTCCGGCATGGTGCTGGGTGAAACAACAAAGTCCACAGGTGATAATCACCGCTCGTTTCCCTCTGTGATTGGTTTTAGATTAGAGATAGGATTAATCTAGAGAATGTGGAAGCATGAGTGGTTAAATCAAGTAACCTGATGTGTCAATGTGTTAATCACACAGAAGTTTCTACTGTCCACACTTCCTGTGAGTGTCTATCTCTGACAACAGTGCAGTAAATGAATCACTGACAGATGCTGATCGATAAACCTTATCATGAACTGGCAATCACCTAGTCAGATTAATCATCGCAGCATGGATCCACATTTCGATGCTTCTCAAATCTGATCCACTGTCTCGTTTGTTAGTTTGTTCAAATGCTGCAGTGCCTCCCCAGAAGGAGAAATATATAATTAATAATACACACCTAAAGAGGCTTAATGAAAAAT